CTGTTGAGCCTGGAGAAGAGAAGACTGAGAGGCGATCTCATCAATGTGTACAAGTATGTGAAGGAGGGGTGTTGAGAGAATGGGCCCAGACTCTTCTCCGTGGTGCCCAGCAACAGGACAAGAGGCAATGGGCAGAAACTGAACCACAGGAAGTTCCATCTGAACCTGAGAAAAAACTTCTTCACTGTGAGGGTGACAGAGCATTGGAACAGGTTGCCCAGAGGGGTGGTGGAGTCTCCTTCGCTGGAGATATTCAAAACCCGTCTGGATGTGATCCTGGGCAATATGCTCTAGGTGACCCTGCTTGAGCAGGGAGGTTGGACGAGATGATCTCCAGAGGTCCCTTCCAACCTAAACGATTCTGTGATTCTGTGATTCTGTGAGATCCTGGCTTTGTGACCACCCTGAGCAGATGCTTCAGAAAGCTAACTTGGGATGCATCAAAGATGTTAATGATTGTGACACTAAGATAGCAAGTACAGGGGGTACAAAGTAGTTTTTGCCTCACATACTCCATGTCAAGCCTGCCTATAGCATTTCAATCCTTACCTTTGCACTCTGTCCTTCTCTAGGTGGGATACCTTCTTGTTTTGGGCACTGCCAGTGCAGAGGAGTCTCTGGGCTGAACTACACTGTTTGCATCTCAAATTTTCCTCAATGTCTGACAGCAGCTGTAGGAGACTAGTTCCCATCTCTGCTCCCAGGGAGCCTTGCCCGGAAGAGGTGGCTGGCAAGGCTCCCACTTGTGTTGCTGAAGTGATCCATCAGGATAAGACATAGCAGAGCTTGGCTCCACCACGTTCATGCAGGTCCCGGCTATTTCGGCTGTAGGTAGGATGTGGTGTTGTCTAGAAGAAGAGGTGTGTGAGAGAAGTAACCATCACATACTGGATTCTTTTTTTACCGTCTTTGGGAGGGTTGCGGACTGAAGGGGATGGGCACCCTGGCTGCTCGCACTCGCTGCCCTCCTCGCTGGACAGGGCAGATCAACCAGAAAAGACAGCCTAGGCAGAAACAGCAGTTCATCACCAGAATTGCCCTTGTAGCGTTCCTTACTGCAAGGGGTATAAAATACCTGTTTATCAGCCTTTATTCATCTTGTGGAGTCTGCTTCTTGTTTACTGTTACCATTTCCTTTTCCCAGTTTTCAGACGCACCCAAACTCTGTTTTCAGATCTTCATTTTAGTTACTTTTAAGTATTATCTAACCCCCCTCCCCGTATTATTATTATTATCCTCTCCTCTTTCCTTTTGCCTTTCCTCCCCCTTTCTCGTCAGCTCTATTTGCTTTCTGGTTTTAATTCTGGTTTGCTTTGCAGGAGAAATGAAAGGCTGTTTACTGATCCTGTCCCCACCCTTTCCTTTTGTATCACAGCTGGTCCCTGAAAAAAGTTGGAATGATAGTTCTGCATGTCCTCTCCCCTGCTTTCCTGGTTTTTTAGAAATGAATTTTGGTATTGTTGAAAGATCCTAGATGAAGCTGAAAGCTCATAAAGTCTAGAAATAGAACCTACTGAGGGAAAATGGATTTAATAACAAAGGTTCCCATTTAATTCTTTATTCAAAACCTGGAAAAGGGGAAAAGGAAGGTTTGGATCATCTTAGGTGCATCTGTGTATGTGCTTTGTACTGTGAAATGCTGATATTTTGACAGACTGTATTGAGTAACTTGCATTTTTTATCTTTTTGGCATGCTAACAGCAAACCTGCGGATGGGAATGAACATCTAGGAGAAGCCTTTTGTACTGTAGAGGAGGGATTCCATTATTTCTCCTGCATTTTGGACATTGAGAATGGAAGCCGAAGAACAGGCCATTGGGAGAGAGGAGTGATGGAGCAATGCTAGAAGCTAAAGTTGTTTTATTTTCAACTTAAGTAGAAAATGCAAGACATGGCAATACAGCTGCAACACAGATGATATGAAGTGGATATGTAGTAGAGACACTACTGCAATTATCTTCAATGTTACATTTTTTTCCATGTGTAAAGTTTACTGAGAGTGGAATTTAAAGAATCGTGCAAGCAGCTAAATAAACAGAGGGATTTTTTGGCCTAATTTCATAGAAGAAAGAAGAAGGCTGAAGAATAACAAAACAAAGGAGAAAGGAAAGACAATCCCTCCTCTGTGTTGCATGAGATTCAAACTGGACGCTTGTTAACATATGATATAATCATGCCTATAAGTGACTTATAAGCTCACCCAAGACAGCTATGAACCCAGTTTTTATTGCACCAGTTGCCTAGCTTCATGTCCCAGTCTTGCAATGGGAGCTACTGGAATGGTGCCCAGCTCTTTGGCTATCTAAACGGTTTTGCAGTTTGGTATTTTTCACTGAAAAAAGAATGAGAAAGTTATACCTGTTCAGTAAGAGTATGTGTTAAATGCGGTCCTCTGCACAGGTAAATCTTTGAATGGCCATCATTTAAAGAAGACAGTTGCCTTTCACTGAGGTCAGTGGAACCTGCTTCCATGTTTTCAAAGAGAAAATTCCTATAAAAATATTGTTACAACATACATGTTTAAATATCTCTACTTTTTGGTATAAAAACATCAGATTTTCAGTAGACATTTGATATCTATATACAAACTGATTTTTCTATAGCAAATGTGTGGCATTATTATCATGCTAGAGCAAATAGCTTTATAAATATGGACTTTACTGTTTTGAAAAGTATAATGATGAAAGCAATTTGATTTTTCAATTTTCTTCATAATATTTTGTCAGTAGCAATAACACATGTGAAACTCTCTAAAATAACTGTATTTCTGATTTCTTAGCCTCAATGTCTATGTAAAAAGTAAATAGAAACAAACCTGCAAGTATTTTTTTGTACCTAGTTTGCCAGAACATTTAGACACAAACAACAGAGAGCAGAGAGTAATTCATTCTTACTTTGTGTGAAATATTGTTTGACTAAGAAGAGCATTAAATACAATGCAAACCACCAAGAGCCAGGAAAAAACATTTGTTAAAAGCTGACAGTTAAGCTTAATCTGATGTCATTTTGGGGAGGAAAATCTCATCTTGGAACTCAGTAAGGGTAAAATTATCAGAAGTCAGCCTTGTCTCCTGGATAAATATGAATTTAAAAATGAAGTAGAATCATGTTTTAGAAACCTTATTAGTTGTAGCGCCACACGTTTATACCAATTTTCCAAGACACTGCAGAATAATATTGTAAATTCAAACATCGCTTCCAGTTATACAATATTAGCTGAGTAGGTGAAAAGCTTGACTTGAGATCATCCGGTACTGTGCTCATCAACTCATGTGGTGTTTTTATTGTCTATAAGGAAAAACTATTGTGATTACAAACTCCTTTGTCTTGTACTAAATTCGTGGTTAACAGTTCACCAAATCTAGGCAGCACCACAAGTTTTCATATATAACTTTGATAAATGCAAATGATCTTATTTGGAAAGCCATCCTTTCCAAGTCCACTACTTTCCAGAAATGCTATTTTACAAACCAAATAAAATGCCTCAAAAAGAGAGACCTGTGAGAAACTCAAGGTAGTAGAAGTGGGGCAAAGTTGTCCGCTTTTTCTTAAATGTCACAGTCCTCTCCAGCACATGGCTGACTAGTCTGCTTCATGTAAGTCTGTCTTTACTTAAAGTTTATACTTTATATATATATATATATATCTCTATATAAAGTATGTACTCTGTTTATAGTCAGATTTTTTTTCCCCAGATGTTCATAGTATTCCTTTGCATATTTGTCAGGGACTTTCTAGGTTTAATCAACTCTCACAGGGGAAAGGGTGAGGGGACTGTGTTTCTGCGGCCTCACTTCACATCACAGACACTGTGTTTAGAAACACAAATAACCATAATATGGGCTCATGCAAATGCATAGGAAGGTTCTAACACTGCTAAAGTGAATTTTGCAGCAAAAATATATTTCAGAAAACTACAACAAAAATCAATGTTTTTAAAGCTCATTAGTTAGCTCTATTTATTAAAGTGAAGCTGGGGGGATTAGCTGAATAGGATCCATGGCTCAGTAAATGCAGTTGACTCATCTCAAAGTCTTTAGGGTTAGGCTTTGCTTTAATTTTATAAGCAATGAGGAGCCATGACTTGCTATAACTATACTAAAATGATCTTAGGAAGTTCAGATTAAGTTCAAATGATGACTTAGTACATTGTTTCAAAACAAGTTAATGCTTAAGATAGCAAACTTGCTATGCTCTTCATGTACTGAAACCTGACCGAACAAATACGCTTTGAGTTTGCTTGCAGTATGTTTTGCTTTTTAACCTGAGGTCCCAATGAACAATTGTTGAAGAGTTCAAGCATCTCATAATGAAGCTGAAGGCAAATATTAGAGTATTACCCTGGAAAATAACATAATATTGTGGTTTAGTTAGCCCCAGAAAAGCACATGTGATTGCTTCCCTCATGAGGGGAACAATGTTGAATAATGTAGTCTCTACCTAATATCTTAATGCCTCTTTATTCCCTGTGGAACGGATTTATTGCTTTGGCACAAATCCACTACCATCTTTAGCTAGCTGTTTGAACGCTATGGGTAAGAAAATAATAACAGCAAAAATTCTACCCCAAATGGCTGCTGTTCATGGCCTCACGTCTACATGAAGCACAGAGCAAATTCATTTCAATGAGCTACTGAAGATTTCGAGTACTCTGGAATATATGAGGTGCTTTACTCAGACATTTAAACAGAGGACAGCCTCACTCTTTATCTTGCGTGTGTGTGGGCACCTCTAAATATCCCCATAACTGTTTACAACTGAAGAGATCAAAACTTATTTGGTTAATATATATAAAGAGGGGAATATCTCTCCACCACAATATATAAGCTGAACCTTTCCACAGCTGATGATTTATTATTATAGCAAATTATGATTTATTAGATTGTTATGCTAACAAAACCCTTCAGAGAGTCTACGGAGTGTTGGAAACGTTGGTATACATCCAACAGAGATCCTATGAGAGAAATTTTAGGGGCTGTGTTAGCAGAATCTCAGAGAACTTTTACCAGTTCTGGGATTACTGGATATTTACTGTTCTCCAAACTAATTTTGTGCCAACAGGGCCTGTAGGCTAGAAGGAGCTGGGGCCTTCACCTCTGCTTAACACTTCAGCCCAACTAGAGAAACTAGCAGGGCTGCACATGTTAAGTGTGAGACATTGGGTTAGAACTGTTTCTTTCGCCATTCTCAGATGGCAATGGAGGGGTCACATCCATCCCTGCAGACTTTTAGCAATGTGATGTTCTGTTTCCATTAGCTAATAAGTTCCAGTTTTGGCTGTACTGTGAGAAGTGTGGTGCATTACCATATGTAACCAGAATACCTTACTGTTTGCTAAAAGATAATCATCCTGGCAGTATGAGTCACCAGACTTGTGTGGTCAGTCCCTGGAGACCTCCACCTGGGGAACATAGTGACGATTGATAAACCTGAACCTATGGAGTTAAAAAAAAAAATCAATTGAAGTTATACATTTTAGACTCATAAATCTGTTAAAAAAAAAATCCCTCAACTCAAGCCCTGCAGAAGAAGTCCTTTAATCTTTGCCAAATGCTAAACTCTCCTGACTCCACAGTGACCTACCCTTTCATCTCCACTATAGAGACCCTTTCAATGGCAATCTCCAGTAATGATATATGCAGCTCTATTTATTTGAATGTGTAATGATTTTAATTACAGCCAGTCTTCCCTCCTGCTCAGGCTTGTTCCAGAAGTAACAACAGAAGTTGCCAGTTCAAGCACTTCATCAACACAAGCCCCAAAGTTTTTCCTGACTGCTTACTTTAGAGCCAAGAAAGCCCTCTTTAGGTTTTTCTCTTACTTAATTCTAAAACCAGTCATTCAGGGAACAGCACAGACCTCGCAGATATGAGACAAATGAAAAACTAAAAGAAAAAAGCTCCTCAGTGACTGTATCACTGACTGTTTTGTCAGTTTTGTCTTCTATGGCCCGTGATATGCTGAAGGAGTTCATTGTTCCGTGTTTTTGAAAAAAATAAACTACGTAGTGCAAAATGTATTATGAACTTACCAGGTAAACACTTCAGTAAGCTTGGGCATGAAAGTAAGCCACTTGTGAATATAAAGGGTTACTTGGAAGTCCTCAATAGTTTCACTCAGTCATTTCAGATTCAGATGCTGATAGCTTTTTACCTCAAACTGACACACCTAATAAATAAAGACTAGGTCCAGGGAAAAATTCACTCTCTTCATCTTAGGCAAATACACAGTGGGTTCAAACTGAGTTTTCAGTACTCAGAGAATAAATATACTTTTTGCAATTCCTATGAAATACCCCCACCTTGGTTCTGATAGATCCTTCTGTGTGAAATTTATGGCAAATCTGAATATTCCTAAAGCTAGAAAACTAGAGAATTGATTCTTCCATCTTATTTAGTGTGCATTTTCTAAAACAGTCATGCCCTTGTAGCTCAGAGAAACTGTGTAGCACAAAAGACAAAGGACAAGGCATCTATTTGGGGGACAGAGCTGACTTCCATTGCTCTGCCTTGTGACTAGATGGCAAACATTTCTCCTCTGCTTTAGTTTCTTTGGCTGTAAAATGGAGATGGATATTCATATCCTTCTTCTGATATGCTCTAGAATATGAATGAAAAGTTTGAATTATGCTTACAGAAGAATGGTGCTTATAATTATTTCTACAGTTCTTCCTAGAGAAATTAGCAAGGCAAAAAATCATTCACTATTACACTCTTTTACAAAATATACTTTTTAGCTATAATCTTTAACTGCCACTATTCTTTGCAAAATAAGTTAATTGGTTTCTTTTAAAGAAAATTGGC